CCCTTCATCAGAAAAAATTTTTTCTGATGAAGGGTCTAGGCCCGAAACGTCAGCCTTCCTGCTCCTATGATGCTGCTTGGCCTGCTGTGTTCATCCAGCTCTACACCTTGTTATCTCTGAAGTCAATGGGAATTGGGTGGTAAGATTATGGAACAATGGATGATTAACGATATTGAGACTCTAGTCAAGTATTAAAAAAAAAAAATCACATCTTCGATATAGACAACTGGGATCAAAGTGAACTTTAACAGCATAAAGAGTGCAGGGGCATTCTTAAGAGGGAAATCGAGAAGGCAAAGAGAGGATATTAAACAGTCTTGACAGATAAGGTTAAGGATACTCCAAAGAGATTCTACAAGTATATTAAGAGTGAAACAGCAACTCAAGCACGAGTAGAGCACCTTAAAGATCAACTTAAAAGGTCAACAAATTCATCTTGGTGTTGAACCTCAGGAGATGGGAGAGATATTAAATGAATACTTCACATCAGATTTTACTGTGGAGAAAGAAATTGATGCTAGAGAACTCAGGGAAATGAATATTGATGACTTGAAAACAGTTTACATTAAGAAGAGGAAGCGCTGGAGGTCTTGTAAACAAAGGTGGATAAATCTCAGGGACCTGCAATTTCTTCCATAATTTCTCCCAATTTTGTAGCTAGTAACTCACCACCTGACTTCACAAAGGTTGCCCACCATGTTTAAAAGGTAGATGTCAGGAATACGATAGAATTGAACCCTAATCACCAACTCAAAAAATTCACTTCATTTATTCAGACCCAAAGTGGCAGCAATCTGTCCATTTACAAGGTGCACTGCAGCAAATCATCAAGATTGCTTTGACAGTAATTTGCAAACCTGGGACCTCTACCATCTGGAGGGACAAGGGGAGCAGACATAAGTGAACACCACCATCTGCAAGTTCCCCTCCAAGTCACTGTGTATTCTGACTTGGAACCATAATGCTGATCCTTCACTTTCACTAAGTCAAGTCTTTGAACTTCCTTCCTGAGAGCACTGTGGGTGTACCTATACCACATGGACCGTGATAGTTCAAGATGGCAGCTCACCACTATCTTTCTCAAGGTCAATTTAAGGATGGCCATCACCTACATCACAAGAATAGAAAAGATCCTAAAACCAACAACATGACAATAACTACCTTGATCTTGGCATTTGTCTTGATTGCAGTTGAGAGATAAATCTTGGGCAAGATACTGGTGAGGACTCTAGCAATCTTTTCTTGAATCAAACCTTTCACTTCTTCCCAACAATAACACTGTTTCAGTAGTGCTGTTTCTGTTCCTGCCAGCTTGCAGGAAATCAGCTTCAGAGAACTCCCAACGGCCACCCAGTCCTAAGGAAATCTCGAAAAGCCAAAAGGCAAGCTCTTAACAAGTTCCCTAACAACTTCAACAGATCCAATGAGATGGATGACTTCACTTTTCCACTTGTCCCATGCCCTCATTTCTGTCCTTGAAAAAGTCAGAGATGCAGATAGCAGGCAGATACATAAGCCGCTGGTGCCAAATTGGTTTTTTTTTTTAAAAAAACCATTCTGCCAACGTCCTGTCCCAGTGCTGTGTTAGCGGTCCAGGCCACACGACCACAAGTCCAGTTTCTCAACTGAAGCATTACCATGCCAAACGGGGACATTGTACATCATGGAAAAAAAAGTGCGACAGTCTGCAAGCTCCAATGTCACTAGTGCTTCACTTCACATATTGTACCTAGACCAGTTAATATGGTATAGCCCATCACATACCAGGTCATAAATAATCCCTCATCTTCCATTCCTAGTGTTGCGGATCCCTTTTTGCCATTTAATTAAAAAGCTACAATTTGGTAAGGATGTGGAGTCTTAGACAGCCCAAGTTAGAGACAGAGTTATAATATCATAGCCCACCTTTTTCAAACTACACCCCTTTGTTTAATGAGGATTTAGAAAATCCAATAGCATAATATTGCTTTTGCTGTTGAACAAGTCATCAAAACTGCCTGAGGCCTATTTTACTAAAGGGTTGACTGGATTGAATTGATATTATCCTCAACAACTAAATTGGTAATGATTTTCTTACATAAACAAAAATTACACAACTCACGATTACGGGCTAGTTGGAAAGTGGGAAAAAAAAGTGAAGTCCTAGAAACAGATTCAGCCACTTATTTGTCTAAAGTTGCAAAGTCCTGCTTTAATTTATTTTAAAAGTCTGGAGAACTAGAAACTAGCTGAAAGGAGGACTGGGAGGGAGATACAATGGAACTACTTGGAAGCAGGACTGGTTTCACCCACATGCAAGATCAAAAGCCCTTTTGTGCAAACGTTTCTGATGTTGTGACATTTACTGCACCCCTACCAAAAAATACAAAACGGCAGTTTCAGAAAAAAGGAAACCAAATTAGTTCTACAGTTGCACCTAAGAGAGGTGGTTGACAGATACATGCAAGGGAAGAGCTTTTATGGCATACTGGTAGTGTCCCTGCCTCTGGGCTAGGTGGTCTGCGTTTAAGTCCCATCTGTACAAGAGGTGTGTTATAACAGTCTGAACTGGTTGATTAAAGAAAATACCAATAGAAACTAAGGTCCAACATCTTTGGATGCACGGGTGTAATGAGGTACTAGTGCATTGTGCTAGGGTCACGCTAACCCTCCTAGCTACAGTATTTTTGTAGTTACTGGTCAGAAGTAGAATTTCATTGCGAAGTGGTATTTTCACATAAAAAGCAGAAGCCATTAATCACGGATATTCAGTGCTACAGCATAAAAAATAAGCTAAAACCCTTCCATACCAAGGCTTATTTCTTAGTGACAGATCTCACCTCGAGTCAGAAGGTGCTGGATTGAATTTCAAATCTAGAGACTTGAATAAGGTTTTGGTTGAAAATTTTAGTGTACTGAAACAAGAAGATAGCATTGAGGGAATGCAGAATTCTTGGCGGGTCCTGGCCAATATCTATTACTGTCAAAGGGACAAAAAAAAAATTCCTAGGTGTACCTACAACATATCAGCTGCAGTTCAAGAAATTGCATCTCCACCACCCTTTAAAGGGTAGGTGGGGACAGAGCAAAAAAAAAATGCAGGCCTTTTTAATGAAACCCACTTCTCATGAAATAAAAAGACACACGGAGTGCTGCCTTGTTAAGGTCTATTTCTCAGCTAAGGCTCTATTTGCTACGCATGACCTGTACATTGTACTACACAGTGCTTTCAAGATACAAGTGGTTAATCAAGCAGATCCTAAATGGACATTTTCTTGTGCACAGCCTGTTCCCTGTGATGTGTGTTCCTGATTGCTGCATGGGCAAGCCAAGACGCAGCTTAGAGTAGGGTTACCCAAACTGTGATACATTATTCCTCAGTTGGAGCTTCTAGGGTCGCAAGCTCTGAGGCAACAATGGCAACAACTCAAAGCTATGAAGTCCATTTAAATTCTTGGGTTTACTTCTTTAATGGAGGCTGTACATTAATGCACAGATTTTCAGATGTGATTCTTGTTACGAAAAAAATATTAGTAAACCTTCAGTTTAAACATTTTCCACCACATTGAACCTCAGGCAACTGCTCTCTCCCACCACCAACTCAGCAGCTGAAGCCCACCTCACTCTCCTACTCAGAAATCATTCCACTCTCCACAGCTTAACAGCTAAAGCCCATCCCCCAACTGCACAAACCATTCCCTGCTCAGAAAATTTCTTATACCCAAATTCTCAATCTGTGGTTATGCAAAATCTGGGGCATTAAAATGGGGTCACATAGCAGAATAAAGTTTGAGAAGCACTGACTTAGAGGAAACATCGTTTGAGGAGTCTTTATTCATGTATGGCTTCTATTTATTGTATTCAAACTGTGTAGAAGTTCCTAGCACAGCGC